TGAATGATTGATAAATCACTCCTTAAAGATGACTGTGGAACATTATTGGAACTCTTTACAAATCTTCTAAATCAGCGTCATCTTCACACTCACATTATATTCTGGGAACTCCTCACGATCCACTTTTTTGAGCAAGAGCAGATCCCCCGTGTCTGTGTCCAGACTGAACACTCCAGTTGGATACGTATCGACTCCTTCTCCTTCAATAGTAAAGTACATATCATGGCTTGCTGAGGGATCTGACACCAGCTACAGGAGAATCCAAATAAAATCATAAACAAAAACAAAAACAAAAAAAAGGATTCTGTTATTCATAACGAGTTCATCATGAAGCAGTCTGCTGTGGGCTCTTTCAGCTCACAGTGTCATGAAATAGATCAAAAGTGTACACAGTTTACAATATGGTACTGTAGCTCAAACACATAACATCAAAGAAAATAATAACAATAACATCAGCTGAATGTAATCTGAATCAGATCAAATGAGGGGGGGCGTATATAAATTTAACATTCAATTCACCTTCTCAAGGAGTATTGGATAGTTCCCTTCATAATTCTCGACTACAGACATCGGAAAACGACAGGCCCGTCTTTTAGAGCGGATCAGGGAGCCTTGGCCTCGTCGCTGTGACATTCCAACAAGTTCAGACATGTTAGATAAAAAAAAAAAGGAAAAAAAAAAGGACTGTGCCTTCTGACCTGTATAAACGACTCACAATATGCAGTTGCCTTACGTGTCTTTTCGGCATTGTACTGCGGACAAGGTGAACTTCCATCTTTCTTTCCCGTTCAGTCTTGTCCTGAGCACACACAGAAAATGTCCATCCTCCTTCTCCCACTGAGACAGACGTTAAAGCTACGACTGCTCCGTTACTTTTTATTGTGAAACTCGGGTCCTTCACGGTTAACTGCACTGATTTTGCATCACAGCCGACGGTTTCAACTGAAAAGCGAGAAAGTGAAAGATAAAAAGAGACATAAAACACAAAAAATTTGGCTATTCGGCAACACTTTTTCCAAATAGAGGGAATAACACAAATAAACAGAGCGGCACCTTTTGCTACTTGGTATCCAGGTGGAATTATTTCAGGTACAATTACGTAGAGAGATCTCAGCAGAAAGCACGACTCCACACAGGACAGGATCTGGAGGTGAAAGTGAGTTTCAAACTGACTTGTCACGTTTAAATGTTTTAATACTTCCGGGGATGACAAAAATGACAGAAAGTAAACATGTATCAATCATGTAGGAGTGCTCTAAAACCAAACTAGGAGCACTTACCAGCATTAGGTAGGTGGTGGAAATCAAAATTTTCCCCATCTTAGGAAAAAAAGAAGACTGACTTTGTCCTGCGTCCAAGTGTTGGGAGTCTGGTTAGTTTAAGTGTGTTAACTCAAGAGCTTTGTCTCTTGTCTATTGCTTCACTTCTCTATCAATGTAAAAAGACAGGCGTTTCTCAGACGGCACACCCAAGTGGAATTTTAAACAAGCGAAGTAGCTTCGGGCTGTGCTCGCTGGTGTCTGCTGAGAAACCTCCCTGAAAGTTGCAGATATTCACGTGTTTTTCCCCCATCAGCAGGGGCAACATATCTATTTTACTGCAAGACATTAAACCGCGACTAAATGTGGTTTAATGTCTGGAAAAAGACATTAAACCTCTAAAACTCTTCCCCTCAAAGAGTTTTAGCGGGAGCTACAAATACACACAATGAAAGCATGTAGCATTATTTATATAAATCTGTGCATAAAGAGTATAAACAATATTCTTATAACACGTGTACCTGCATGCTGCAGGTACACTTATTTGAAGAAATACTGGTCTGTCTGTTTTTTTTTTTGTCAAGACTTGTGTGCAGTAATGACTTGGTCTTTGCTCATCAGGACTAATAAATATTTATTTTTGTCAATCTGTTGCAACACATCTACCAGGATTCACAGTTGTGGCCAACCAGCAAACCAGCACTAGTATCACCACCAAGATTTCGCTTAAACCCCACCAAGAATTAACCTT